TTAGATAAAAATCAGTCCCTCCAGTTAGTTCACAGGCTTTTTTCTGGATTGTTAAGGCCTAAAATGCCTGATTTCACAGCAGGTTTTCTACAAAATTGCGACGCATGTTGCAATGTTTTTAGGCATTTTTCAGGAGAAAGTGAATATTGCAAAAAATAGTTGGGATTTTTTGTGTGTAATTCATTAAAAATAGAAGGCAACTTGTTCCCTCTGAGAATAAAATCACTTATTTTGTGATGTACAGCTCAGTGTTTGTGCAGAATTCACAGGGATTGATTGATTTTGCGTTAATCGTCGCCATTGCAACTTCCTGGAGGGACTGAAAAACACCTTCAATATAAGTATATAATAATAATATAAAGTATTTTGCCATATTTGTCAGCCCCTTATTCCCCAACTTCACATCTTGTTCTTATGTTCATGCACAGGTACATACTGTACTGGCACACTGTGAAATTACACTGTAATATGGGCAGAATACGCTGTAAGTTGCAGGCAGTAAAAGGATAAGTTAAAAAGTGAGTATTTGTTCATGCTTTAGTTAACAAATACTATTATTAATACTATTATTCAATTACTTTACATCTACTCTTTCTTCTTCAATGAAGACAATTCAAGTACCAATAAAGGAAACACATTTACAAACTCAGGTCAAATCTAATTTTAAGGAAGAAAATCTCAGTCTTACGTCTTTTAGACTTTTCTTTATTCATCTGACTCCTGGACAATGGACACAATTACACATTAAAACAGAAAATAAACAGAAATAAAGTAACCTTGAGGCTTCAAGTTTCCTGTAAGTTTCATACTGGACCACTATTGTCATTAAGTCATGAATCCTGCAGGTACGTCCAGGTGTTGTCCAGGCTATGGTGACACATGCAGTGCAGATGAGTGACTGAACCCTAAACTGTGATTGAAGGGGGGTGAGCGCAGAGAAACGTTCCTCTTTCAGCAGATGAAAACAAACTCTTACCTTTCTTAGTGGAGGAAGAGGAAAACCTGAAATAGACAAACAAAAGAAATGAGTTAACAAATAAAAGACCCACGACCACCATCGTTCCCTAACTTTTAATAAGTCATTATTATTGTAACCATGACGACACAAGGTCACCTAATATTTTAAAGACTTATTTTGACCGAAAGTGCGACATTTCCTTAATCAAGTCACTTCAACCTAACCAAACCTTAACCATAGTGTCGTGTTTTGAATGTTGATAGAGGAGCAGATGAGAAAATGCTCCTATATGTTGTTTGAAAGACTTGATAGCTTTATGTTTCTTTGCTACTGTCTACAGTATTGGATTATTTTATTTTACAGTCTGAGCTGGTCAAGTCTCAGACAAAGGGGAAACACTTCAAACGAAAATATTTATGAGTCTCAAAGGGCTAGAAGTCTGTTAGGCTGTGGAGGAAAAATACAACACGCATACCAAACCAGTGAGACGGAGCCCCGTGGTGAGCTGTGTAATCCAGAAAACAGAACCGGACCAGAGACACAAAGAGAGGCTGAATGACACAAAGTCCTGAACCAGCTAAATGAACAAGATGAAAAAGTCTTTTGACACATCAGCAACTCACTGAGGCTTTAATCTTCGTATCCACCCCAGAAAACTACACTGTGATAGACTGAGATAGCTTATATATAAGCTATTTATGTTTAGTATATAACTGTAACACATTATTGACATGTCATCACCTTTTTTAATCCAACAGTTACAGAACAGGATCATTCATTTGGTTTCCATATAAATGGTGAAGCATTTTACAAACTATTTTTATGTATTAATAACTTTTTATTGCCATGTTAAACGGGTACAACCTGCATTCTATGTAAATGCCAGCAGGGGGAGCTCCTTTATCTGCAATAACAGACCGATCCCATTCACTGTAATGGAGAAATGACCCGACTTGATTTATGAGCTCAGTAAACAGTTTCCTTATGATTTCATGGTCTCCCTCTCTAGTTTCAAGTCTTCTTCCAAATATTTTGATGTTCATTTAGTAAATTATGGTCCAATTTAGAGTAAAATAGCTCAATGCACCAAACCCCGATCAAAACTGTCAAACTAGGCAGTGCTGATCAAATACGAAGCAGGATTCTGTTACTTTGTTGACTATTTGTCACCTGAAATCATTTCAGAAACATATTTTATAATTTATCTGGAAAATCAGATCGTTTGTGACTAGGCGAGCTGCCATTGTTTCCTGCTACAGATTAATTGAAACTGTGCAGCCAATGAGGTTGGCTCCACCTAACTGTCATGGCGATGGCCAAAATGCCAAACTGGAGGCTTTAAATCGGCACTCCACAAACCAATGGGTGACGTCACGATAAGTTTACACTTGCTTTTACCTGGTTAATGTTAATTGCTAGCTTCATCCAGACTCCCGGAGCTGATCGGGCTGGCTCGCCGTTGGAAGGTTACTTTGGCCGCCACCAGATAACATTATTCAGCTTGGCTGGGTTGCATCTGGCTGGATAACCTTAGCTTGCTTGCTTGCTAACATTATCATTAACAAAATCTTATCTGAGTGGATATGTTATTTTGTTTTACTTTGTTTTCACAAATCAAATCAAAAGTGTAATTTCTTAATTTGTTTTACATACATTTCTTAATGCCTTTCTGTCTTATGAAAAACAATTTGAATTGACTCGTCATACAGATAAACTTCCTTATTTGTTCAGTCCTGCACACACACACACACACACACACACACACACACACACACACACACACACACACACAGCGTAGGTAACAATGTTCCTGCAGCAGACTGAGGAATGTGTTCATTTCCTCTTCGGTGTGAATGTTTACACTCTGGATGTTTCTGAAACAGAATAAAAGTCCTGGAGGGAAGGAGGTAGGTGTGTGTGTGTGTGTGTGTGTGTGTGTGTGTGTGTGTGTGTGTGTGTGTGTGTGTGTGTGTGTGTGTGTGTGTTTTGTGAAGAAAATGGAGGTTTGACACAGATTTTTTACATTCTTGGGATTGGTTCTATATCTGGTGACGTGCTAAAATGCAGGAAAGGAAAAACAAGTGAGAAAACACCAGTGGTGGAAGATGTAAAAGCACTATTGTGTAACAAAATTAACTTAAAATACTTAACAGTAAAAGTAATCCTCCTACAATTAAATGTCTCCTGCGACTGATACATGATTTTTATGTGAAATTGTAAGATTTTTCACACTAATGCATCAGGGTATAATGTTAATAATTTTACTTCTTTGAGCCTCAAACAACTATTGAAATTAAGTTTAGAGGAGAAATGTCTTTTTGGTGGAACAACAACCAGAGGAGGCAATAGTACACGCATTATTTAGTAGAAGTAGAAGTACAGATACTTTTGTAAACAAAAAAAAGGACTGGTAGAAGTAGAAGTACTGATTCAACTTCTTTGGTCAAGAAAAATGGAAAAAGTACAGGCTCTGAAATGTACTCATATTACACATTTCTAATTCTCTGATGGACATCTCTACCTGTTGTTTCTGTACAAAGTACAAAACTGAAACTATAAGTAGAGTTGTTGTTACGTCGTTACCTCTTTTTCTGTCATGTTATATCTGTGTCATCCAGGATATGCACCGGTCTTGATGTTGGGAAAGCGTGCAATGATACAAATAATAATAATAACTCCATACAGATGCATTAAAACTACAGTAACAAGTCAGTTTTGGAGATGTAAGGAGTAGAAAATACAGATATTTGTGTGAAAATGTAAAAGGGTGAGAGTAAAAAGTTGTCAGAAAAATAAATACTCAAGTACAGTATTTGTATTTGTTAATCCCCCCCCACCCACTACTAATAACAACACGGACATCTGAAATGTGACGAACTAAACAACAACTACAACTACAACTAGTAATTATATCTGTCACATACATTTAGTTGAGTAAAAAGTCACACAGGAAATACAAATACTTAAGTACTTCAATATTACACTGAAACACAGGACACGTCTTTTCTTTTATCAGATCTCTGCCTCCATCTAGTGTTCAGTTTGAAGAATCACAGCAAGTTAAGAAATGTATCTTTCTCCGGTCCAACTGTATGATTCTTAGTTTTTAAGGTGTTTCATCTTTAGTTTATGAACAAGAATCTCAAAGTTAATATCAAGTGTCAATTAAAAATAAAACAATTCAAATATTAATGCCTTTCTTCAAAGATAAATCTCTGATCTCTAAGGATCTGTTTGTGTGTTTCAGTAAATATCAGGTAGATTTTGGGCCAAATCTCCAAAGTTAACATTAACAGGATGAAGTCGGGTCTCATAGAATTAAAACTTTAAAAAGCTTCTCATAATATTTTGTCAAAATTCTGACCTATTTTACACTTGAAATGTTTTAACAATAACAACTTTTCCCCCAGAACTTTAAAAGAAAATGGACATGAATTTGATATTAAAACTCTTTCTCATCATGCTTTCTCTCTAAAATTATAACTTAATCCATTTAAAACTACAATTTTAATCTCTTAATATTACAGTTAAATCATAAACGTTTATTTTGAAATTACTACTTTATTCTCAATATTTTTATCTAATTTTTTAAAACCAAAATTGCAAATTGTCGCATAAAATTACTTCTCATATTATGACTTTGCTACAAATAAGACTCAGCTTTATTCTTCTTTGATATTAAGCTTCTTAAAGCCTTTTTTCATAGATGTTTAAATACAACATTAGTCTCATAATTTATTCATAAAATTAAATTTATTTTATCTCGTATTATGATTTCACTTATAAAACTATATTACAAAGTAAAATTGGTACTTTCTTTTGAAAATCATGACTCTTCAACTTAAACAACTTATTTCTTCTCAAAATAATTACACAATATTGACTTAATTCTGAAAATCTACATTTTGCCCCCTCACAGTGGCCCTAATACCAATACTCATGAGTACACATCACACAAATTACAGTACGTTTATTAATAAAAGAGTAAAAGGGCAGCTATAAACCCAACTCATTCAGAAAGGATAGAAACAAGACAGTGAGGTTTTATTAACAGATTACTTTTATTATAAATATACAGTGTTAAAATGGAATGGTACCTGACACTGCCAACCGTTTATAGAAACAAAAAAGACAAAAAAACAAATGGGACTGGAGTTTGTGCTGCAGATCTGCAGTCATCAAATCACACAAATGCAACACGAAAAAAAAAGAAAAATTCCCCATTCAAGTCAAACACCTTCGGCGGCCATTTTAGGTGCACGGGCGCAGGCGACTGATTTATACTGGGAAGTGTTCGTTCTCCTCAAAAAGGTTTCAGCACAGTTTGTAAAAGAAAAGAACACTTCTTGTTTTACAGTTGATCGGGTTCTTTGTTTCAAGGAGGAACAACAACAACAACAACAAAAAAAGGACAAAAACATGAGAGGAAATGGTGTCAAGTGATTAAAAAATGAGATCACAGGAAGATGTGACTGAGACATTCATTGGTACTTTACAGTTTATAAAAAAGGTGCCACATGCAGCATCTTTAACATCAATAGAAAATCACATGATGGAAAAGTCTGGTTGTCATGGACTGCAACTTCTTCCTCACTGCACTTTTTTCTGCTGGTGTTTCTCCAAAGACAGACTACATTTCCCATAAACCCTCCCGCTGCCTCTACTCCTCACTCCCAGGAAAGGATTAATATGTTGTTTGAGGTCACTGGAAACCAGATTTTGAGGTTTGAAGTTTGAAGATTTACGACCAGGAACTACAGATGTTAAACTTAACTGTTTGATAGAGCGGTAAATACCAGAAATAAACCTTGTGATATTTGTACAACTGAAACCACGTTGTTACTTAATCGATTAATCAAATAACTGATAGAAAGTTAATCAACAACAATTTCCATTCCATTTTTTTTTTTTACACAAAAATGCTGAAAATCCACTGGTTCCAGGTTTTCAAATTCAGAAATTTACTGGATTTCTACGACAATATGTTAAATTAACGGGAATATTTTTGGACTTTGCATTATTGGCCAAACAAAACAAGACATTTGAACATTGAACTTAAAATATTTGGTCATTTTATTACGCAGAAAGTGTGTGGAAATCTGCCCGGTTCCCTTTAAGGCGCTAAACTGAATATCTTTAATCTGTATATATTTTTTCTTGATTAAAACAATTAATCCTTTAGTCTATATAATGTAAAAATTGTCGTAGTTCACAGTCCGGTTTTCTGACAAAGCGGTACTCTCCCTCCACTGTCTGCTGGAACAACAGCGCCCCCTTCCTGTAACGGCTCCAAATCCAAACAAAAGTGTCTCAATGTGTTCAATCCGGAGAAGAAGCTGCAGTCTTTTAATGCTTTACACATGTTTAAAATGTCCCATGTCGCACCTTTTTTTAAAATTTGATCATTTATCTTCATGAATGTTGCTCACTGGATGAATCACATCACTGAGCGCTCTGATGGCCACTAGGTGTTCCTGTTGTCAAGTCCTTGTAGGTCCAGTTTGCTCCGACGGCGCCGTGGAGCCGAAGGAGCGTCCTGCAGTTGCTTTAACAAGATAATCTCCTCTTGTGTAATCAGACAGCCTGCAGAGGCTTTTAAAACACAATTTTTAAAATAACAAAAATTGCATGACAACAAGAGCTGTTGTTCAAGTCAATGGCATGAAGGTTAATGAGCAAATTTAACTTTCATTTGCTTACAAATATCAACTCCAATTTTCACTTTTTAAGTATCAGGCACTTAATTTTTAAGTACTTTACATTAATGAGCAGTGCCGTTCAAGACTAATGCTGAAGTAGTGTGCAAAACACTGGATATAACAAATCTGTTTGAACATGCATAACAAAATGTAAACATTTAAATCTTCAACTTTATCAAAGGAGAAAAAAAAAAAAAAGAAATTATACCTAAAAGAAACCTTTACAAACTAAAGCTTAAATAACCAAAGAAGGAAGAACAAAAACAAAAAAAAACTATTTAACTCTCATACTGCTTTAACATGCTGCTCAACTCTAAACTAGAAGATGTCCCCCTCCCCTTTGAATGACAGCAGGCGTTCAGCCCTCAGTGGCATGTTGTCATTAACATAAAAATTAACATGCAGGAAAAAAACAAAACATTAAAACTAAGGCAAAAATGTTCAGGAGAGTCAGACTGAGATAAAACTGGTCCAGTGGAGCTGTGGTTTGACTGGGAAGCTCCCAGTAGGTGAGTGTTAAAGGCCGTGTACGCCTGAGACGAACTAGTTTGTGCGCAGTGTTGTCTGAAGGCAAAAGTGTTTGTATGCACAGCCACACCAGAAAGGGTGAAAATCCTGGAAGTTCACGGTGTTGCACTCGATTGTTCGCACATTAAAGTGACAAAAGTAATTATGTAGAGAATAAAACGGAAGTTCAGCCCCCCCGTCTACTGTCGGAGGCAGCTCTACTGATCTATTAGAACTGCACAATGCTGACAATATGCCCCCAGTGGCTGTTCGAGGTATTGTAACATCAAAAAAAATTATTCTCCCCATTGACCTCCATTATAAAAGAGACCTCTGTAAAACTGTTCACAGGATACTTACAACTGCAGAACAAGGCATCTTTTTAATTCATTAAGATTCTATATTTGTAAAAACATTCTCAGAGTCTAGAAAAGCTATTTTTATTTTGAGAGGTAAGACGCACTACTGAGCCTGTGCGGTGGACTGCACAAGGAGGAAGTAAACCATGAACCATGGAAACTTTTTTTTTTGGTCCGATGCACTCGCCGAGCAAGTTTCATTTAACTGACTGGTTGCCATTTTCCAGTCCAGATTCCAGTTCTATGGACATGTATTATTAGTATTTATAGTACATGCACACATTGAATTTTCATTTTACGTACATTTAACGGACAATAAAATAATCTGAATAAAACTGACAGCACAACTGTGTCTGACATCGGTTCTATTTGTACAGTGATCGGTGGTCTGGTCTGTGGAGGTGTGAAAGCAGCTTCTGCTTCTGTCACTTTTCTTACGAGCAACTGAGTGCGACACCATGAAGGTCTTAAAGCAGAGATTGCCTGAAAGTGCCCGCCGCCATTTATATTTGTATGTAAAAACGAGTATGTGTTCGTTCCTCGTGACTCTTCAGAACAGCTTTACACACTTTAGTCTTTAGCCGCCGTCATACAAACTCTTTCCTCTGAAGCTTACAGAGGCCTTTACTGCTCGAGTTTGATACAGACTCAAACAACTCACCTTAATAAATAAAAGGTTTACAGGCATGATGAAGCAGAGTGAGACACAAAATATACATTTGTTGTAAGATTATCAGACATGTTGTGAGATATATAATCAAATCTTACTGCACTGATGAAAATATGACTCTGTTTTCAAGAAATAGTCACAAAGAGGAAGAAGTATTTGACCGTCTTCTCCTCGTTACCGCTCATTTCAGACGTTACCGTTAAGAGAGACAGGAGCAGTAAAATAAATGACTTCTAATATCCTGAAATACAAATGACAACTCTGATTCAAACATGATTTATAAATGTTCTAGAAAGATTGCGGAGGTTTGAGTCTGGTGGTTTCTGGTGGAGAACGTGTGCTTTGGTGAATCTGCCCAGCTATGATCTACTGAGTATACATTTCTCTACTCATGCATTCATTCACAAACAATTCATATCTGTCTCACGTGAAGCCAACAGTCGGGAAAAAACTGCAAATATTTTCATAACAAGTCATAGTATCTTTTAATTTAGTCCTTTAAAATATTTTCTTAAAACTCTCTGGACCAATAAATCTGCTGGGAGTAAAATGTTTTCACTAAGCTCTTTGAGGCTGAAGTCAAGATTTAATGACTTGCTGAGATGAAAAGAATTTGCAGCTTTATCAATAATAAAAAAAAAACAACAACAACAACAACAATATGGCAATAGCTACAAAACTAAGAACAAACAGCACCAGTTAATTTCGGTGTCGTAGTTGATTCCACTACTGTAAGATAACAATACGTTGGCAAATATAAATATGGAAAAAAAACAAAAAAAAACAACAAATGAAGCAAATGGTACAGTAGGTGTGCAAATCTGAACCAACGTCTGTGGCAGAAAAACAAACAGAGACGAGTCGAAGGAAAAGGCTGCGATTAAAGGGATACCTTGACATTTGAATTTTTTCCCCAGCTACACAAGGTTTTTGTTTTTTTTGTCACAATATGGAGTCAGTGGTTTTTGTGTTGGCACTTGAGATGAGAGAGTCTGGGTGGAGCGGTGGATTGGTTTACGTGGGAGAAACGTTCTTTGGTGAAGCAGAGTGAGTGTCACCTGGCATTAAACGTACGATCTGTATCTGGACATCTTATCTGGATCAAACTCGCATAACAGTCAGAAAACAATCAGATCTCAGCCAGGTGTTAAAGACATCTGTACAGTTCGGCCACATTCTTAAAGCGATACTTCCACATTTTTTTTGGAGGGGGGGAAAGTGTCAAGCTGAGGAGATACCACTCGAGTGTCTGTACGCTATAATGAAGCTGCTGCCGGGAGCTGGCTTAGCACAAAAGACTAGAAAGCTAGCCTGTCTCTGTACAAAAGGTAAAAGAAATCCACCTACCGCCACCTTTAAAGCTCACAAACAGCACAATCTCTAGTTTTTCATGGGGTGGTACCAGACTACTCCTTGGCTGGGACCAGCAAATAGTCTGGTACATAACCCACCAACACTTCACAACTTTACACTTCGGTTTAACTATTAAACAAACAAGTTATAAAGTGTTAAATAATGAGCTGTAGAGGTGTTGGTAGGTAGGTTTTACCTTTGCACAGATCCAGGTAAGCCGTTTCTCTTTTTCCAGTCTTTGTGCCAAGTTAACTGTCTGCTAGCTGCTTCATATTTACTGTACACTTAACTATTCGTGTAAGAAATACAAATCGAAAGGTCAACAGTCTCGTCCCGTCTTACAGCTACAGATGAGCCCTTCTTCTGCAAAGGAAAAATAAGTAGAGCCCATAAACTTCCCTTCACCTGAGACTAGTCTGCCATCTGCCTGCCAACTGTGCACCTAATCTGAGATCCAATCACAATGAAGTCTGAACGGAGATAAGAAGAGCGCTTATTTACACAAAGTAAGTGCAAATGTATCCAGATACAGATTCAAGGTTTAAGGATTATTCTGGAGATATTCTCTATTTTTCTTGTGGTCAAATCCCATTAAAAGACCAAAACTAACAATGAATGTATCCTACTGAGAGCCACAGACAGGACGTGAGAGAGTATGGAGAGTAACACAGTGTTTGTTTTGGTCTCTTCATGGGAAAAATATAGAATAACACCAGCCTGGTCCTTTAATGCCAAGTGGGAATGGGGTCAAAGTGTGTCTGTCTGTGTTTATGGACCAGCATCCAACCCTGCCGTCTACCCAAATGCATGCTGGGATAGGCTCCACCCCTGTGAAACAGATAAAGCAGGTGGGAATAATAGAAAAGAAAGAAAACCTGAGGTAGTCTGAATGTTTGGGCTACATGTTCATGTATGATCTCTACACACAATTCTTCCTCCTGCACTCATGTGATTTCTTACTGTTTGAACAACCTGAACAGTAGCAGTGATGAAGGCGAGACAACGGCGCCGAGGCGTGGCCAGAAGCAGACAGCAGGGCTGGGTATCGAACAAAATGTGGCAGCGATATCTATTCAGATCTGTACTTTACATATTCTCGGATCAGAAATCTTGATTTCAGCCTACGTTTGAACCGTTTTAGCTGCTTATATTAAGACATTTAGAAATTTGAGGACTTTGGCTTCTTCAGTCCAAAGTCGCATGTTTTATATTCCTCAAACAGAAGCTCAGACGGAGAAAGGCAAAGATACTCGGCCTGACTGAGGAGTCAAGGAAAACTAAACAGGTCCAACATCAAGGTATCTCTTTAACTGAATGTATTTGAAGCCGGCGATGAAACAGATCGCAGGCCATTTAAGGCACATGTGTGTAAGAAAAGTTTATATAATTTCAGCTAACGAGCAGGACTATAGAAATGCTTCACTTAACGAGCTATAATGTGAAGACTGAGGAGCTCTTCACTCAGAGCTCCAGATAACATCTAGACACTTTATCAGAAAATAACTATCTCTCTACAGAAGTAGAGTACAATTTAATAATGAACCTAGCAAACTACAGTACACTCTAGACGCTAATTAATGATGGCTTGATGCATAGCATCACCCATAGATAGATGATTTTTATTTTAAGTAATATGGATCTTATTCAATATTTCACTGTAACATTGAATAGTGGAGTTAATAGTGTTATGGAGGGTTATGGCAGTGTTTGTTAAAGAGTCACAGTCTCACTCCTCTGTTTCTTTTTTTACCGTAAAGAGACAGAAATCAACAGAGATAGGAAGAGAAACTGATTTGTGATTGTCATGAGTCTCTGTGTCGTCATTCCTCTGCAGTTCAATCAACGACGTGATCAAAAACCAGAAGAAAAAAAAACAGGAAATACCAACAGGAGACAAAAATAATGGGAAACAAAGAGAAGTTGTGAGTTCAAATGTTCTCAAAAGATGAAGAAAAGAAAACATCCCTGCTCCGCGTATTCAGGCTTTAACCTGAGCCGATTTAACTACTGAATAATCCGGCGTCCAAAACCATCACCAAGCCCAAGTGGATATATAATTTTCCAGATTCCAAAAGCGACCAAACCCCCAAATAATCAGACAGTTTTCTGATCACAAAATGCTAATACGAACAGAGGGAATAATGCTAAAAACAGTGCGTGTCAGTGTTTGAGGGCCCGGCTCTCTTCAGCTCTGCTGGGCCAGGACCAGAGAGGTGGGGGGGGTCTTTCTCCTCCTGCTCTGACTTCTGTAGTTTGTTGCTCCTCTCAGTTTCACATCGCTCTATTTCACACACCTCCTCCTCCTCTTTTACTTCTTTCTTTACCGCCACTCCTCCCTCTGCTTTCTCTGTCTCGGTCCTCTGGGGTTCAGCCTTAGATCCCGGAGGAAGAAATTTCCCAAATCTCGTCCCGTTCAGATCCTCCTCGAATTTCACCTGGAACGGTGGTAGCCCGAGCAGGAAGGCCCTGATCCTGCTGGGGGAGCTCAGGTCTGCGGGTTCCTCCTGGTTCTTAGTCACATCTTGCTCTCCTCCCCCACCTGCACTCCCTCCAGAGATGGATCGGTCACCCGGGTTGAAGTCCTCCGCCTGCTCTGTGGAGCCGGCTCTGGGTCTCTTGGATGGCGGTTGATCTGTGTTTCCATTGATTGTTGCCGGACTCGGCTCTGGTCCCTCTGTGCTGGGTCTCTTAGCTGTGAAGCGTTTACTGAGGTTGAGAGGCAGCGCCTGCTCTGGGGGAGGGGTGATGGGAGAGCAGGGGGGCTTGGTGCTCAGGTCCTGGGACAGAGCCTCAGACAGTCGGCGGGTGAAGGTCTGGAACTGAGACGAGCCCAGACGAGTCCTCATCAGCTGGCACACCTGAACGCTGCAGTCCAGGTTCAAAGGCAGGACCCGGAGAGGGGGCAGAGGAGGCCGGTTCCTGGCGTCCCGACTGCCTCCTCTCTGGGCTGCCTCGTCCACGTTACACCCCGAGCAGCGGTTGTGCTGCTGGTTGAGCGGGTGGGGCTGAGGCTGAAGCTGGTCCCCGCTGGGATGAGGCGTATCCGGGCTCCCGCTTTTGGGCTGGAGGGTGTAGATGGTTGGATGGTGCTGGGTTGAGTCTTGAGGCGTCACGGCCGGGCTCTCCGGGCCTCTCTGGAGGCTAATGCAGCTCCGGAAGACATCCAGGGGGCACACACCTTTGATGGGGCTGAAGCCCCCCAGAGATCCTCCAACAAAGTGACGAGGCAGAGTGGAAAGGATCACACCTTGAGTAGGAGCCATAGGCTCCCCTCTGTCCGGCTTCAGCTCCTTTGGTTTGGGCTGGAAGGGGAGGAAGGGGGCAGACATGGGGGAGAGGTCAGGGGTGAGGGGCATGTTGACGGGAAGGATAGCTGGCTGGGCGGGCTGCAGGGATGGAGGAGAGAAGAAGAAAACGGAGGTCATGGATAGTGACGATGTTTATTCTGTATTTCTCTTATTGCCAACAAATCTAAACCAAACACTGTGTTAGTCCTTCTCTCAGTACTTTCTGACTTTCTAATGAAGATTTAAATCTTGTAAAACCTTTCACAAATATATTTATTTATTTAAAAAAAGGTTCAATAATATCCTTAAAAAGATGGACACTGTAGTTCTTTTAACTTATGAAAAAGATTTGCAGTTTGTCCATTAGAGAAAGACTGTTCAGCTTTCATTGTCAGTTATTAAAAATCTATAGTCATAATCAAATTGCCTGAAACTTCCATTCCTTCTGTAAGTGCTTTTAGTCAGTCGTTCTCAGCTGATCACAAAACTAATTAACAATTGTACTTCCTGTCAATACTCTCAATGTGTCAATGTAATACAGCTTCTTTCTGGAAAATTCTTAAGAACACTCACTCAATCTCACTAAAATTGCAGATAAAATGTGAAACTGGTCCGATCAAAAACAAACTTAATATTGCAGAAACCTCTAAATCATTGTTTTCTCTCTGCTGGACACTTCATTTGTTGAATGCACATTCCTCTCCTGCAGGGGGAGCCTTACCTGCTCTGTTCTCTCTGGCTAAACTAAACAAAGGTTCTACAGTTATAAGAGTGGTATTGATCTGCTGTGAGTACACCAGGTCTGTTTACATCAGTGACTGATCGAAGACTTATTTTAAAAATCAATGTCTGCTCCTACTAAACATCCTGTGAATCCACCATCTATGACAGACTACAGCAGCTGAAAGCATATTTTTACAGTGACAAATCATATCTATGTTGTAGTTCTGTAGACTACATAGTCTACAGAAGCTAAAAATCCCTTGCTTTATTATTTTGAGGCTATATTACGGTGAGTATTTGATATTTGGATGGATGAAGATGGATTTTGTAAATCCCTGCAGTACAGTAGAGTCTGAGCTGTTACCCTGTGTGCACTGCTGGCTGCTGGTCCACCTCCACCTCTGGCTGGAAGCAGAGGACTCTGCTGCTGAGACTCAGCTGCTGCTTTGGCTTTAGCCTGCTGCTGAGCCAGCAGCTTCGCCTGAGCGATCAGCGTGGCCTTGTTGCGTGTACCCGGCGGCCGGCCTCTGCCTCTCTTCACCACCATGGTGCCGTTTGCATTCACAATCTGCCCAGAGAGAGGAAGATCAGTGGTCATTTCTGATGTCTGTGCTGGGTTTGTTAATGTCTTTTGGAGCTGCTGTTGCACTTTTATTGTATTCTGTACATTATTGCTGTATACATTATACACAATGTAAAGCACCATGAGTTTACCGGATTTATTTTGTATTCTAGAGTCATAGTAGTACAGAGTTGTAAAAACCAGCTATTACTGGATTGTTTTGACTTGTAGGTGATCCCATTGGATCCATATTAACTTACCACGGTCAAAATATGCCTTTTTGTTATTTATCATTACTCTTAAAGTTAGGAAATAAAAAATGTAAAGGTACAACTAAAGAAAAGGAACTGGGGGTAATTACGTGTGAATGTGTAGTTAAGAGTAGTCTGTCACAGCAGGACACAGAATATAGTAAAAAACTTTAAAAATCAGCTCATTTGTTTCAAGACAAATCCTTTTTTTTAAGTTTTCTGTCACTTACAGTGCGAGAAGGAGAAGCAGGGGTTGCAATCTTCTTCTCCTTGGCTTTGGGTCCTGGTTTTCTGCCTCTTGGAAGTGGTTTCCTTCCTCTTATCCCTCTGGGTTTGGGAGGCATGGGGGATTCTGGGATTTTGAATTCTGCTCCTCCTGCTCTAAGGTGCTCTTCATAAGGAAGCATCAGCCTGAGACAAACACAAAGTTACAGGAAGCTTAGTTCATCTTCTTTCATGTTACTTTTAGCCTGAATAGGCATTTATATTCAGTTAGTGTTTCTGTCTGACCTCTCGTAGTGTCTCCTGGTGCAGGTAGCAGCACTGGTGCTGCCAGGGCATCCTCCCAGCTCGTTATAAACAACTTTCCAGAGACGGTCCACTGTCACCTGTGACACAAACACAAAGTTGAAGATGATCAAGTTTGAAATCCTGCAGAAAAGAAACAATATTTTCCAGATCTCCATGGTGGAGAGGAGGATCTTATGTCTTATCTGAAGTTGCTTGAATGTCCTCCTAAATCCACATTCTTCACATATGTTCTATAATAATCATATATCAGAAATGTTGTCATTAAAATTTGTATATAATGTGATAATTTTGTTGGTTTGTTCTGTTCATCTGTGGCATCTATTGCATATCTTAATGTACATCTATTGCATATCTAAATGTACATCTATTGCATGTCTGTCCGTCCAGTGGCTCTTCCTGAGGTTTCTTCCAGTTTATGTTCAGATTGTAAAGGCCCTTGAGGAAAATTGTGATTTGTAATTTTGGGCTACATAAGAAAAAATGTACTTGACTTAGCCTGAGGTCAGAGCAAGTCGGGTATAAGTTGGACACGTATCTAACCAGCATGCATTGTGCATCACCCGCCAATAATAGATTCTGTGCGTGCCTGCCTCATCTCGAACGAGTCTATTTACTACTCAGCTCCACATTGGGAGCGAGGATCTCTTACAGCAAAGTTTAAAAATCCCCCAATGTCAATCACTCTCAACGGCTCGGGCATCAATGCTATATTAAACACCTTCAAAAACACGTCCAAAAGCGTGAAAAAAGACCATTAATCTAAAGTCTAATAAACTAATCTGTATTTAGGAAAATAACAGCTTCCTTGTCTGTAGTACGATTGCTGATTGCAACGTCCTCAACTCATCTTCCAGTTCCAAGCATGTAGGAGGAGGAGGTGGCTGCGAAACCTGATTATACACTAATGAAAACATACCTATTAATAACTTATTCCATTTCTGCCTATAGATCCTCCTAAATGTTACAGACTAGACCTTTATGTAGTAGAGTGTGTTGGCTGTGAGTGTGTGTGACAGGAAGGAAGGGTGGTTGTTAGTATGAGTCTACAGTGACAGGGGGGAGTAAAGACTACTGACGCTGACAAACAGTCAAACTTCCAAGGAGAGGTAGGAGAGGGAAAGCAGGTTTGTGGCTAATGCGCTGACAGCAATCCACAGTTTAAAGTTGTTTTTTTGTCATCACCCTCCAATTATCTCATTGCATCACTGCTGCTTATATTATTTCACTGCACAGTTCTATAGGCTACGTGGGTTCTGTTCAAATTAATTCTAATGAGATGCGCGTTCGCTGAAATTCATTTGAACTTGATTCTGTTTTATTTTTAAGCTGAGTGGAGTGGTGTCAGTGGTTGTGTGTATGTGTGTGTGTGTGTGTGTGTGTGTGTGTGTGTGGTGTGTGTGTGTGGCAGGACTGAAACAATTACATACATTACACAATGTGTCATTAGGGGTGTAGAACTATGTTGTATAATACAGTATTGTTCAGTACAAGGCTCAGTTCAGTACAGCGGCTGAAATGAACGACTGAACGGGCCTTTTGTTGTGAACAGTGCAGCACTGAGCTGAAACTGAACCGCCTGTTTCTGTCTGTCTGTATTCATTTATTGTAAAGCTGCTTTTGCTGTGTGTTTATTTACTGTAAGCTGCTGTGAAATGACTGATTGTTTCAGGCTCCACGGTTTTATTTTGAAGAGACAAATATATTAGTTTATAATGCTGAATGTTACAGTTATTTAAAAATTCACTGCATCAGGTTCACTTAAGTCATTCATTTCATAAATAGTCATCATTGTTAATTGTAACAATTCAATTTCATTTTTCAAATCCTTAATACAAATAAACCGCTAGCCTGGCTCTGTCCAATGGTAACCCAATCCACCTATCAGAACTTCTGAAGAATAATAATTCACATGTGTAATGACATTTGTTAAAACTAAACAAAAAATCTAAGTTTAAAAATGACACCAAACAAGGGCAGGCTAGCCGGTTCCTCCTGTTGTCTTTAAGCTAAGCTTGTGACAGTTAAATATTTTGCATACAGACGAGAGTGGTTTCAATCATCTCATGCAACTCTCTGCAAGAAAACCAATACACATATTTCCCAAAATGTCAAACTATTCCTTTAAATAAAGGTTAAACAAGCTGAAGTAACCGAAGTAACTTAAAGTGACTCGAAGTGACTCACCTTTTTGTAGCCCCCGAGCCGTCTGACCACAGAGTACATGAGGAAGAGGTCAACTGAGGACAGAGAGGACAGACCTGTTACAACCCAGCGGCCCAATGCGGCAAGTGGAAATATGAAACACGGAGCCAATTAAAGTGCAAAACGGGATGTAATTCTGAAATAAAACGCTCACTTGACAAACAAATATGCTCTGATAAAAGCAATCTGCAAAAGACTTCAAATGTGCATGATGACTTTATTCTCTCCTGCTCATCCACATGAAACAAACCCTCCTTTGTTTTTTATATTTGCAGCTCTACAAAGTGGGTTCAACTGCTGATTTAATTATGATTATGATTTGAATGATCCTCGGAGGCAAACAGAGCAGAACTACAACTCGCATCATGATTTCAGCTGCCAAACATCCACGTCTCCAACCTTCTGGCAGCTCCTCCTTTAAAGACTATTATTCATCTCCTCAAACCAAGATCCATTCATTAGATGTAATACTTTATATTGTTATATGTAAGTTGAGCTGCTAACTCAATAATAGAAGAATATGCTTAAAATGTAATCAAATAACTAAAAGAGACCATAAAATATTTTAGTTAAGATTGTAATTTGACCCAGCCCTAGTTACGTAAAGCCTAAATTTACCTAATACGTAAAGCCCCTATAATTGATATCTTTATGTGATAACGTGAGGGGTGTTGGTGATGAACCTACAGAGGATTATCGCCTGAATCTTCAGCTCCCCTCAGCTTTATAGTGTTTTAGCTAGTCCTTTATCTGTTTGCTCCACCACTGTACTGTTTCCGAGATGCTAGTGATTCCACCAGAAGCACCACGGCGTGTTTCAGAAGTGTCCCTGAAGCGGCTCTTCGCTCTACTATGCTGAAAATGTGCAGCTGGTCTATTTTTGATGGAAGCAGCACAGAGCAGACTGCTTTGGCATGAAGACCGACATAGAAACTTTTCAAAATAAAACACACTGTACAGACCCCTGATCGTAAAAACAAATTTAACTAGCCTAATAAAAGCCTGGTAGAAGCACATAAATTAAGGAATTATTAAATCAACAAATCTGAGCAAGTTACCATAATCTGCTGAGCAAAACGCTTCTGAAATGTTCCTGGTGGGTCATGAAGCCACAGGCAGGATGGACCAAAACTGCTGCCACCCAAGAGGCCAAAAATCTCACTGCACATTTAAATAAACATTTTCTGCAGTAAACTGAACAAACACAGACACAAGCGTGATCATGAAACCAGTCGAACAGGAGTTTTGAACTGCAGCCAGCTGTATCCTGACAGAGAGCTACTTTAAACTGCTGCTGTTTCTAGCTGTGATCTGTGATGTTTTAGACTTAATCATTTTATTTTGATAATTTTTTATATTTTGATATAAATTGAGTGTTATCTGTTCTAGGTTGTCGGTCTGTATTTGACTGATATTACTGCCTCTTTTGGCCTCTTGAAAAACTTTTTATCTCAGTGGTGCAATTCTGGTTAAATAAAGGTAAAAAGAAAAGTCTTCTGAAGGGTCGGAGAAAGCGGATGGCAGGTCTGATTAAGCCAAAAGCAGAGAGCATGATGGGAAGGAATAGAACCTGTGACCTTCTTTCATTTCTCAAATGTCAAGAGCATTCTTGTTTGATTCACCTTTGAAAGGGACAAAAAGAGAGACAGAAAGAAATAAAGAGAGAAAATCATTAAGACTTACTCTTCTTGAAGCCAAGGTTGGGGACTTTGTGGATGGGTGAGCCTTGACGGTCCATGAAGGCAAAGAGCTGATCCAGGAACAGTTGCTCTTCAGGGTGAGGGAGCCAGCTGCCCTCACAGCCGACCTCCACACTGCCCATCACGTTCTCCTGAGAGGGACACATCCAGTATTAAAACAGGAACACACAGAACATATGTATCATTGAACTGCCCTGCACTGAAAGGATAAATCAAATTAAGTTTTTTCATGTGCTTGTTATTTCTGAGGCCAAAATGTCTCGGTCAGCAGACGTCCTGAAGACGAGTCTGCTTCTAAACCAGTGCAGAGTTGAGCCCAGTTCAGTTCAGTTAAAGGTTTCAGAGGGACGAACTCTGTTAGACATCCAGGAAGAGATTTTACCCTCCACTTTCAAAAGAGACACCTCAAAATAACTGTTTAATAATGAGAGACAACTCTAAAAATGAGACAACCCTGAACAACATAGACGTGAATACTTAATATAACGAACAAACCTTCATCCTCTCAATCCAGGACTCTGATTGGCTGGAGGTCGGGGAGTCTTTGTCGTCTCGGCCTCTCCTCTTGCGAGGTCGCCCTCGAAGACTGAGAGACGGACATCCTGCAGAAATGAAAACACAAATAACGTACATAAAGATTCAAAGAATGCAGGACTGAAACATTTAATGATACATTTAATTAGATTTTCTGGAATGTAATCTTTAGATTTGAACAAAATTTTTTTGTTAGACATCTACGATACAAATAAATGCTTAAAGCAGCATTTTACTGACTCTCTTTCAGCAACTACACACTACAATACATTAATTTCACAGCAGTTAAATGTAACCTAGAAGCCTGTAACCTTTCAAACAAATTCAGCCCAGTTTTACCTTTGATGTCTTTTAATCTGCAAAGTGCTGATTACAGCTTTTACAGTATTTTTTTTTGCTTTAATCATCCCTAAATAAGGTTGTGTTAAAACAAACGACCACAAACTAATTGACACAAAAACTTGGGAACATGTGGCGTTAATCCAGTATCAGAGTACTGTGCTTGTGCAACAACAAACATACTAAACACGTTTAAAAAAAGTTTTTTATTATTATCATCAAGTATCTGCCACAATAATCCAGTATGGTTCATGCTCTGGTACGTCCCCCTGCAGTACAGTGGACAGGTTTCACTGAAGCACTCACTGAACTGCCAGGAGAAGCTGGCACTGCTCTCCAGCGTCGGGTGGCTGAAGGTGTCCCTGCAGTACATCAGCCGGGTGTTGGGCAGCGCTTTGACGGCCCCCAGGGCCAGCAGATGTGGGTCCTGCAGCACCGGCCCCCTCGCTCCATCCTGGATGCGTCTCTGCAGAGAGCGAAAGCGGCAATACTGCGGGTAGCTGAGCACTTTGATGCCCTGATGCTCCACCAGGTCGTCTGAGAAGAAAAGACATGAGACACGTAAACCAAAGATCCCTCTGTGGTGAAAAAGATCATCCGTCGGAGTACTCGTCCAGTGATGTGTACAGGCTCTGCAGCTGGGGAAAATTAGATTTCGGAGGCTGAAAGGACTTAATCCCTCCTTTTTGGGGTATGCTTTTATTGTGAAGCACATGCAGAAAGGAGCCTAACTCCGAATACATGATTGGAAAAACAGAAATTATTTAAATATTGATTCATTCTGTACTTCATTCAACAACTGTTAGGGGAACAAACTGACAATCTCGTACCATACAGAAGTGTATAGATTCCAATTCCCTACTTGATAGCGTCTAAAAATCACTTTGTGGGTGTTTAATAAGTGTATTTGAGTGTTTCTTACTCTCAGTTTTGTCTTTGAGCGGCTCGCTGCTCTTGTTGGACGTGTTACCGCTGTTACCATCGCTGCTCTGTAGAGGCTTGTGGAGACCGTTGATCCCACAGGGTGGCAGTTTCAGGCTGCTGCTCCAACCTGCTGGCTGTGCACATGACCACTGCACCAGGTCCTCAACCCGCACCACCATCTTCCTGGACACCGCGACAACCTCATCCTAAGCACACAAAGAGGTTCGTTCCACAATTAGACAAAAAAAAAGAATGAAAAAGAATTTCCCCAATTCGGGGATTAATAAAGTATATATCTATCTCTGTCATTAAGTGATTCCCTGGAGGAGAGATTTTACAAAATGATTATCTAGAGTGAGGTATATTACAAAACAACTACAAATAAGTATATTAAAAAGGTAGATAATGGCTGACAATGTTTGGTAGATTAAGACTCCAGACCATGTAACCAACTAAATGAATACTTTTATATGTTCAGGTTGATTTTTTATTAAAATCTTCCCTAACATTGTCACTTTACTGTCCAGCCTCCATAATGTAGATGAGAGAAGACAGGAGTTGATATGAATTGGCGCTATACAAATAAAATTGAATTAAATTGAATTGAATATGAGTCAGAGTAATAAGTTAAACCTCGGCAAGTGGTGTAGAAAGAAATTTTTGCCATGCGTTTTGCTTTTCAGAATACACAGACTGCCAACTCCTGCAAACACAACTCAGGGCTGAACAAATGTCATATTTCGCACATTTTTCAGGCAAAAAAAAAAAATAAAAATCAAACATCAGCTCAGCGAGCGTGTTTACATCACATATACAGAGCGTTTTTCCCGGCAGTGAGGTCAATTTGTTTAGCCTGATGACATAATGTAGGTGCTAGTCACAAACCACAGTGACAGCCTACAGCCATTTACAGCTCACTGTTTCTGTTACTACTCCTCTCTGTTGTATTTAAAACTGATCAAATAGCAGACAGGATGTCTATATCTGGTTCATAAGACCTGGTTTTATTGAAGAATAGCACCACTAATGAAACTCTGCTAACTTACAACAACTTACTATAACTTCTTCATAGTTTGACAGAGGAAAAACTTTTAATATGAAGCAGAAACAGCAGAAAAGGTTCAGTTTGCCTCAGCAGTGACTGAACACAGCTCAAATATGGCGAGTGATCAGTGATCAGTAAACTGTAAAATATATGTGAAAGTACAAAGAGGAACACAGGAGGGAAACTGATCTCCAAAACACAGGAACAGACTTTTAGAAACAGAACTTCACTCTCCATATGCTGAAGACACAACTGGAGGGAAGCTGGCCTTCATTGGTAAAGTTTATCTTAGTAAAATATTTGTCAGCACATTTTGTCCAGAACACCGTTTGTGAAACAGATTGTTATTACATCTCTGACAAAGCATGAGGAAGGAGAACAGGCCAGAAAACAATGACTGTAGCTCTACAGGTTTTGGCTTGTGAGCAAATAAAAGAAGACGACGATTGACACACACATGAGAGAAGTGGTTCTATGCCAGGCAGAAGACGTTTACAGGTTGAACAAACCATAAACTTAAAATTTAATGTAACTTCTGAGCAGATTTTAAAGCTGTATTTTTATGATTTTTGTCCTTTTATCCACTGTATATAACTCTGCTCCCCCCTCCATGCTCCACCAGCTCAACTATCACCTGGTAATTTATATTCAAGAGCACACCTACACATGCTTGACACACAAGTCTTGACATTTACATGAGAATACAAAAAGCTTTTGCAGTACAGATAGGCAGAACCTGCTCATATAAGGTTTTATTAGAAAAGGTTCACAGTTTCATTCAGGTCTCCGTCTGGCTGAAAACTTTCCCAAACTCTGAATCCAACCTCCCACCATTAAGGAAAGTTATTTAATGTTTATATTATTAAGCCCTTGGTTGTTTATCTGAACTATTGAGGATTTGCTTTTCAACATTTCACAGTCTAAATTTGAATTATTGAAAAAATATGATTTCATAATATCTCATCTGTACTTTATACAGACTTTATACTGTCTATATCTCCATATTTTTAATTTAGTTATAGACAATCTAAGATTAAACCAGACAGCAGCATATTAGGTAGTGAAATTACCTCCACCTCAAGCAAATACCACAATAAAGCACAGCTTATAGAATGAATACACCAGTATTTATAATGATCCAATAATATAACACGAACAGGGGCTATTCTGCATGATGAGGGTTTTCCTTTTTAATACACATTAAGTACATTTTGTAACTTCTACTTCGAAAGGCAGGACTTTTACTTGTATTCTTAAAGTGTTGCATTGCTGCTGTTGTTGTTTGAACACTTCTTGCACTGCATGTGATGCAACATTTAAAAGTGAAAGAGGAACTTTATGAGAAATAGCCTGAAGAGAAATCTACGGACTGAAATAGTTTCATGCATCAGTTAATAATTGTATAGTTGCAATACACAGGTTCTCTTTTTTGATGGGTCTTTCTAAATATTGTCACCTTAACCCGAGCTCAAGGATAAACCAAAAGAAGATATTTACTAAAAAGGATTTGAGCCCCTTCTTTAGGAGCGGGAGAAGAGACTCTTATTTCCAGGTTGTCACGTAAGGACGCGAGAGGTGTTCAACTACACCACTAGATGCCACTAAATCCTACAGACTGATCCTTTAAGGTATTCCTGTTTGTCGGTGCTAAGTACATGAGGAGGGAATCGCCGCAGACTGGCCACTGCAGTAAAGGAAACAGCAGTCTGACATTTAAACGAGAAAAGCGGGTGTATAATCTGTTTTATCAGACACGTGCAGAGGGAGAGAATCGCCAGGTCGCAACACGTCAGGCAATAAAAACACTTTGGTGAGAGAGTGAGACTAAGTAGAAACTGCACTTTCTGCACTTGCAATTAAAAACACACTAATCTAACTTACTAAACTAACTAATTTCACTTCACTTTTAATGGCTACTAGCAGCTGCAGTCCAGTGTGATATGAATGAAGCCAATTAAAAACCCTTTAGGCCTGTTATGGTATTTCATCTGTTTACAGTAAGAATCCAGTGACTTTTCTAAACACATTCAGCCTCTAATCAATGTTCATCTCTCTAACTAATAGTTCCTCATATACAAGCTTCATATTGTGGGTTGAAGACAAGCTAAGATTAGATTAATTAATTAATTTGTCATAAAAGTTCAGCAGTAGAAAACACTCTTTTGCAGAACACTACTTTTCGTATATGTCACAACAGCTCTGCATCACATCCTATTAACTGACACTTAATGCAAACCAGATGAGCTTCATTTACATCTGTAGTCTTAGTAAATGTTCTACTAAATTGAAAAATTGCAGTGACGCAGAATTCTGTGCCGCTGACAGTAATTCCCACCAGGCTCAGTAAATGCTGCCCCGACTCTTAAAAGTTGTATGTGTTGCTCCTTTGAGTTTCCCTGAATACAAACAGTTAACACGTGGGTACAATGTGACAAGCTGAGCCACTGTTTGCACGGTTTAAAGTGGAGCGCTGCGGCTGATGACTCCTCCCATTCCAGTTTGTCAGCTGTGATCTTGTTCAGTCCTCAGGGCAAAAACAATAGAGCCCAGCCCCCCCCACCAAAAGAAAACAACCTCCACCACCTCTGGGCAGCAGCCAGGTGGGAACTCCTCACATTCCTGCTCCTACAGCAGCAAGGTGAGAGTTGATTAACACAGCAAAGGAGTTTTTACACAAAGTGGTTCTGTAGGAGTCATGAATAAACAGTTTTAGATTTTTTAAGCGTTACCCAAGCTCTTAAAATTTGCTGAATTTTCTGCCTCCTGTCACAGTAAATCCTTAGATAAATGGTAGAGTCCAATATCGGTATTAGGTGCCGATACTGACCTAATTAACATATCGGACTGATAGACGTACAGGCGGACCTTGCGACATGTCCTTAGATATTTTAGTCTTGAAACATAAAAAAGTAAGACAAAAACTTGTAATGTGTGTAGAGCAAACATTCAGGGGGTGGAAGTTGTGCTAAATCATACAATACTAAACTTATCTGCCCTATCTGGTAATGAAAAGTAACAGAAAACACAACGATTCCTACATTTAGGCGATTATACACAAACGAAAACCGAGGTATATTTTCATTTTATATTCCATTTCTGCCAATAGATCCTCCTAAATGTTAAACACCGAACCTTTAATTAAGCTTTTGCAAAAGCGTATGTGTCTGTATCGGTAGAGATCCAAATTCAGGTATTGGAATCGGATCGGAAATGAAAATTCTTGGCTTAAATATCCATTTTTTATAGATGTGAGATGAGAAGAATCTTGTCAACAAATTAAAACTGGCTTCACACTTTAACAAACTGATTTTGTTTTCTTTGAGCAGAGGAAATAAGCGATAACACTGATAACAGCACTCTCGATAAAGCAAACAAAGCGTGTGTGACTTGGGTTATTTACACATGAGGCTGGCATGTTGAGGGAATAGTTTGACATTTGGGAAATACTTTCTTACCAAGAGTAAGATGAGAGGATTGATACCGCTCTCATATCTATTAACTAAATATAAAGCTACAGCCGGCAGCCACTTAGCTTAGCATAAAGTCAGGAAATGGGGGAAACTGCTAGCCTGGCTCTGTCCAAAGATAACAAAATCCACGTACCAGCACCTCTACAGCTTACTGATTAACATGGGACATCTCCATTGTTTAATCCGTACAAAAATCAGTCTTACAAATCGCTGTTGATAAATTCATGCATGTTAAAAGTATGTTAAAACTGATCCTACAGATCTTTAAAGATAAAAAACGTTGGTTTTTTAACGCTTGAGACAAATAAGACAGCTTTTTAAAAAACAAACTCTTCATATAAAAGTAACTCATTCCTTTGAAAACAACTTTCAGAAGGCTCAATTTTCCAGCAGGAAATTTTAAACCTCAATATAGAGACTTCAACAGTGGAATATCAAGTTCAAAATGTGGAAAATTCAGTTTCAGACAAGTCATAGGATTTACATTTGGGTAAAACATTAGTCTCATTTCCCAAAGGGGGATTTTCATGTGAAGGCTGAGCTGCAGCCTGCATGTGAACTGTGTTAATCAAAAACACTCAGCAGCAGCAGACGCATCCACATTTGATCTTTTCTTCCTTCATGCAAAATCACTGTTCATTTGTCATTTATTTAAAGTAATTTAACTGATTAAATTCTTTTATGATTAAGCTGATCATTAAATTATGTTTTTTTTTGTTCTTGAGGGGTCATTAATAAGACATTTTAACACGAGGATAAAAAGACCAAAAGGTCACTACTTGATGAAGAGACTTTGACTGAAGGTTAACCTGTTTAAGTTCTTGGCCGAACATGTTTGGATAAAAAAAGGAGGCAGCGTTCCGGTGACGAGGTTATTAATAGATGGTGTTTAAGCAGATTATATTAGGGAGACGTTCACTCCCATTACAGCTCGACAGGAATTACAGAGGGACTGGTTTTATTCCAAGCCTCATATTATAGTCGATGGTATTTTTGTTTACTTATCTGTATTATACATCTGTTTTTAGTGGTGGAAGTACATTTACTGAGTACATTCAATTAACTACTGTACTTATAGTGCAGTTTTAAGGTTCTACTACACAAAATTTTTGAAGTACAGATTGTACTTTTTCCTTAATTACCTTTTTTTAGATTAATAATAAAACATCTAATCAACAAATCAATTCTAATGTATTATTATAATTTAAGACTCTGAGCCCTGGCAGCTGAGTGTAGGTCACCAGTATGTCATATCCTGTGATGGATATGACCTTATATAGAAGTTTTTGTGTTTTTGTGACGTAGTTCATGGGAAATGGTAACAGATGCCATATTTAATTTAAATTAAACTAAAATAAATCATATTGAAGAGTGTTTAATAAAAAATAAACAGTGTACTACAATAATATTTGTATAAATACATGGAAGAATAAAAAAATGACTTAAATATCATCCCATGTAAAGATAAACATCTCATTGGCATTTCATGTCTAAAAGAAGAGCCAGTCTTCCACGTGTGACCTTTGACCCACCTCTCCGTGCTCCCTGGTCCGGCCCTTTGGCGTGTCCTCTGGCAGGAAGTACAGCCTGGTACTGGCCAGCAGATGGTGCCGTGTCTGGTCCTCCCACAGTAAGGTCACCTGCACATGAAGAAGAATACAATGTGTTTGTTTTTTTAAAACACAGATGCCTTGTAACCTTGTAAACAGCTGCATCACAAATGTACTGACAATCCATGTCTGGAGTCAAACAGCTTTTTTTTTGTGATTTTAACATTTATTCAACTGAAAAAAAATCATATGTGTACTGAAACTTCCTGCAACCAAACCAGTTACACTGACAGATTACAACATTTGCCATGTTAGGACTTGTTAAAAGATACAAGACTTTCATACAACAACAACATAAAAAAGAAAACTTTGTATTGAAAATAATGAAAAAGCCCCCTCAGAAGATTACAGAACCTGTTGTGTAAGAGCAACGGTGAAGAAACAGGAAACAACAGGAGAGACAAACAAGCAAACAGGAAACTACTCCTGATAAAGGCAGATTCAGTCTGAACAGACTGATGGGCCGAGACTTACAGACAATATTATGCGAGTGAGAACTGAACTGAAGTGGACCAGACTGTGCAGGTTTGGAGGTCGGACGTGATTCTTGGCTGAATCACATCGAGATAATTTCAGCATCACTGCTGCTCAGCTGCTCGTCTTTATTTGGTTTTATTTATTCACCCAGAAGACGTTTGACTGAGTGCACAGACTGAAACACCTTCATCACCTTCAGTCCGACTGGGCACCTCCTTCAGTAGATAGACCAGATTCTACTGCTGGAGGTTTACTGGATTTTCCAATCAGTTCCAATTCAGATTTGTGCAAATATTAAAATATGCTCTTTTGTGGAGCAGAGACATAAACACAAAAACTGAAGGATACAGAAAGATTTTTTGAACATTTTAGTATCTAAAGTCATTAAACAAGCCTTTTTAGGGTAAAATATTATTTAAAAAAGTGTGATTTTGTGAGATTAAATATTTGAAATTACCGGTACAATCATATTTTACTGTCTGATTGCACTAAATGAAAATAATTGAACAGTTGGGATCCACAGGTGATAATGTTTTTACCACACATTTCCCAACCTTTTCTGGCTTGTAAGCTTTTTAAAAAAAAAAAAGCAATCATCAGATATTTTTGGGGTTCACTCAGGTTTTCTGGTATCACAAAGCTGGTTCACTGTTAACCGGGTTAGATCACCATTGTTTCCTATGCTACACGGCTAAGGATCAGATAAACATCGACCAAAAGCACTGACCACTGATCAATCACATCACTGGAAATTTATGATTTGAATCATTATTCCTACAGGATCCTGACCAGGTTAAGAATACTGACTTTACAATAAGGTAACAAGTAATAAAGTAATAGATATTCTTATTTTTTTAGGTCAGTAGAATCAACTTTGTTGTTCCTGTGCTTTCCATTTCCTCTCTGGTCTTAAAACAGAGCTTACAGCTGAATTTTAATTAGGCACATTTCAGTAATGTAAGAAACTTTATTTTGAATTCTGCTTCCTGTATTATGAAATCTAACTGTGCAGAAGCATTGAATGACAGGACGTTAAGTCGTGACTTTAATTTTGTTCCCATTTGCTCTCATGCTGTATGTAAAAGTTTTTTTTTTAATACTGCAAGTAATAAACTAGCTTACTAGTTTATTAAAATGGGATTTTGTTCATAAAGGATGAAGGCATACCGCCTACACAGGCCATGCATTTAATCTCTCTGCATGTTTAACTTTGTGCTTCATATTTAAAGTGAAACAGAAATGCTTCAAGATTTATCATTTTGAGTTTTACACAGTGATCCGGGGGCTTCTTCAGACATGAAACCAGGATGCAAAATATCTGTCAGACGAACATAAAGGCCTGCATGTCTGAGAGGAATCCACATCTTGTTGTTTGTTTCTGCCTGGCCCTTGTGTCAATTGATTATTACTGATTTATTTACTTTGGGAGAAGATGCACTTGGTGGATGTTCAGTTTAAATTAGTTTCTTTGACCAATTTAAAATGTTGGTATTAACTCATCGTTTCTCTCTTTCCAGGGTTTGTATTTTGAACAAATACATTGACCCAAAAACACTGATTTCACATCCTTCATTTCAATCAGTCACTGTCAATACAATGCTATCAGCCTAAATACAATGCAATCTCATTAACACTTTGTCAGCTTGCGACCTAAATTCACTAAATTTAGCCTTGCCGTGGGATGTAGACTCAGTAAAACATACTATTAGTCTTCTATAGCTCATGTGAGCAGGAGTGTGACCTATTTAGGGTTTTGATGTGCCGTTGTTCAGTTTGTAGATTTAGTTCGGGTTGGTCATAGTCAACAGTTAAAAGGGGCAATCCAACAAAATCAGCTGACAGCTAATTTCTGAGAGAAAAAAACGACTTACATTATACCGTATTATATTTTATTTTCAATACTAAAATAAGCTGCTATTATGTTAATAGGGTATGCTGTTTTATAGCATTATTTTCTATATATTATATTTCTACCATATTTCTAGATTAATACAGAGTACAAACAAACACTAAGTACTACTGCTGTTACAGTACGTTATATTACTCTTACATGTTACATGTACTTCACTATTAGTTTAAATACTGGGTACTGTGTGTATGTGTACAGCTTGCCTTGTAATTTTGAGTTTACTTGTACCGTTTCTATATTTATTTCTATTCTAATTATTAATTTTTTATTTATTTATCTGTACTTATTTCTGTCCTTGTGCTGCTGCAACACTAGAATTTCCCGCCTGAGGTTCGAAAAGGGATTATCCTCTTATAAAGTTGATATGGCTATGTATTAGCAACAGTTATCTATTTACACAACAAGCAGATCTGAAGCAACATGATCAACCTGATGAACTTAAGTCCATATTCACTCTATTTTATCTCTGTTTTTGATCTCCACCAACACCTGAGGGAAATATCTGGCTCTTTAGCTGCTAAATGCTCCACTATGTTCACCAGCTAGTCCGCAGCTGTGTCTGTCGGCTGTTTGCCGCTGAGCAGGTAGTGTACAGCATGTTTTAGAGCTTTTTTTTGGCTGCATCAGAAAACAACAATGAGAGCAGTTTGCATGAATCAAAAGTGACAGGTAAAAAAATAAACAAAATAACGAGCTGAAATAAGCTATAAAACTCTTCAGGAAAGTGTATGTAATACTTGTCTGAGGGATTCATCAATATTAAGAACCCCATTCACATAACATGTAGTCATGTGAGCTGTTGTTATTCAGGAAAGTCTGATTATAGCAGCTTTAATATAACAGAGCAGTTATCTCACCTCTGCGATGCACACAGGATCCTGCGGTCCACAGCGGATGAAGTAAAAATCCCCGAGCCTCCACACCTGGGCGGGCCCGTCGGGTTGAGCTCTGCTGCTCACCGACTTATAGAAGGCATAGCTGCCTCGCTGGCAGGAGGGAGCACCCAACCACTGACAGAAAGACAAGAGGGAGACAAGAGTTAATGGTCCCTGTGTGGCTCAACAGACATGTTCACTGCTCACATTTGGCATTCGATAAGATCTCTGGATCAATAATGGACCAGAATTTTACTCCCATAAACCTCTTTTGGAGACAAAAATAACATCTATGGTACAGCAGAGATTACACCTTAAAAATTGTAAAGATACATTAGAATATAGAGTTGGATGGATAGATGTAGTTGTAGTTTTTTTGTATTGTATATCATCACTTCATTTTGTTACAATTACAAAGGACTAAAGGTTAGCATGGCACGCTAGGATTTTAGTGTAACACTCTAGACACTTAACATTATTCTATATTTGCATTATTCTTGAGCCTGACAGGAACATTTTGTGACAAATGTTCGAGATATGCTTTCATTAAGTGTTGGACAAATGGAAAGTTTGGCCTGTTGGTGGCGTAGATTAACAGTAAGAGAATCACCAAAGTATCTGGGATTTCTCCTTTGAGAACTATAAACATCTGGACCACATTTCATGGAGATCAATCAAATGTTGAGATATTTAATTCTAAACCAAAGTGTCAGACTGACACAACAACAAAACTGAACGACCAGTTTTAAAAAGCACATTTTCAATGTTTTAGAATTTGGCCTTTTCTACAATTTCATGCATTTAAAAAGGGAAAATACTGCAGATGAAAACTATCAAATTAAAATTTTAATGCAACAGTTTCTGTCCTATATTTTCTAGGGCGTGTTTGAGCCATAAATTCTGCAGAATCCACTGCTGGCATCAACACCTCTGACAATAAAGTTGCACCATTTTGCAGTGAGGCAGAATTTTGAGATGTATAAACAGCACTCTAGAGTAGGATATTGTAATATATTAAACAACTTGGAGAGGAAATGTTAAAAATTAACTCCTCAGACTGTTTAGCAAGGCAGAGGCATATCTGCAGGCCCTGATAGTGACTCCAAATATGTTCAGATATCACTGGAGCTGAAGAGATGCAGCTTTTTACTCCACATGTAGCAATGTTACAAAATGTCTACCAGTGTTACAGCCAATGACTAAAAAACAAAAAGCCTGAAAACTAAAGACATGTTTAAACCCATATGATCTTAATCATCTGCATGTGTCACAATTATTCTTCAGGTAACCTATTTAATTTCCAAAGAAAGAAATAACAGCTGACTTTGCAAAACAGCAGCTAACTTCCTGTTATCATTTGACTATAACACAGTGGCCACACTTCCTATTAAACTGACTTTAAACCCCTTTGCACCCTTGGGTGTTCAATAAATAAAAATAAAAAACACACATCAAAAGTTAGAGCGTCAATTAATAGAAACAATTCTGCTGTTCAACTTTTACTTTCACAAAGCTGCACAGTATGAAGGCCACATGATCCTCACATCATAAAACCATCACCTGTAGTTAATCATTCAGTATCTGCAAGAGGATCCAACTTGTAAATTATTATATTATTCAATTCTTTACCCTGTTTTTCTTTGACAAGAACTACTAATTACTTTAACTTCCACTATGTGATCCCACATGACATTTTTCAGGACGGAGTTTGATAAAAAAGTGAAGTGACCATGCATCTCTGCACTCTGTTTAAATGTTTAAGTATCCTGTACGTCGTAAACAAAAGGTCAAATATTAAATTGCTGAAGTACGCTGGGTAATGTGCATGTTATGACAGAAAGTCATGTGACCTTTATTCTCAGGCCAGATCTCATCAGAGGGTCCCTGCAGTCACGTTTTCACTTCCTGACAAGTTACACTTTCATTTCTTCCAATTATTGACTATAGAGATGTAGTTTTTATGCACACGTCAACTTCATTCAAAACACATTAGGTAAATATTATCACCAGATTAATGTATAGGTTCTAAATGAGATCTTTGCTCTTGCTTCTATCTATCTATCCATCTATCTATCCCTCCATCCATCCAGTCTTTTCCCTGTAAATCCAGGCATTCTTCAGTGAGTTTACCCTGTTTAAATAAAGGTTTCAATTATTAATGTACGCTGCAGCAAATTTCCACCCAATGACACAGACCTATCACTTCCTGAAAGTCAAAGTAAAAGCTGTAACCCCTCCTCGGTTGTGGAAGGCTTTTACTTTGAAACGACTACAGGAAGTCTGCAGTAAAAGAACAAAAACAACTGTTTACTGCTTCTCCTGCTCTGCAGCAGTGCTTTGTCATGGTTATGTGTTGTTTTAGGCAGTTAATAGTACCTTAAGCAGCTGATGTTATTTCTAATAGGTGACTGCCTGATTTATGAGGCTCAGACATAGGGCTACACCTATTGATTATTTAAGTATCAGTTGATATGTTTTTTTAATTAATCGGTTCATCGATCATTTACTTTCCTGACTGCTTCTTAAATATCTCGTTTTAATCTAATCTTAAAACATCTGCTTCTATCATTTCACAACTGTAGAACATCACAGACCACACAGACATAACTCAACAAGCATTAAACTAAACCGCATT